CAAAACTGAACTTTTCTTCTTTTCCCCGTCTCCTTACTCCCCTTTCCTTCTGACTTTTCTGTGTTCTGCATGGCTCCAGTGTTTTCCCAGCTCACCAGACTAGAAAACTCAAGATTTCTCCTCCATTGTCTATTCACCTCTAGGTCTAGTTTGCTTGTCAGATTTTGTATTGTCTGTCTCTTGTTTCCCCAGTCTATACTCATCTTACAAATATAAACATGCATGCCCAACTTTCCTGTTTCTACTCAACACCCTTGTTTTTTGGTCATTACCACTTGCTGGTCTGTTGCAATAGCCGCCTAATTGTTGGCTTGCCTCCTCTTTCTCCATCTTTGCTAGCAGTTGTATCTTAAGGAATGGTCATTCCCTTGAAATGACTTGTGAACGTGCCTAGCACAATTCCTACCACAACGTCACAGCATTAAATACTGCCATTTGTCCATGAAACTTTACTAGACTTCAGAAACATTCCCTGCCTTTATAATACTCCAACTGGAGGTGACTGCCCTTGTTTGAATTTTCAGAGCTCCTGGAATTTAATAAAAATAAATAATATCTAATATATAGCAATAGAACAAACTGTTACATTCTGGAGATGGATGGTGGTGATAGTTGCACACAAGGTGAAGGGAGTTAATGGAACTGAACTGTATACTTATTAAAAATAGTTAAGATGGGGGCCGACCCGGTGGTGCAAGTGGTTAAGTGCACGCACTCCGCTTAGGTGGCCTGGGGTTCACAGGTTCGGATCCTGGGCGTGCACTGACACACTGCTTGTCAAGCTCTGCTGTGGTGGCGTCCCATATAAAGTAGAGGAAGATAGGCATGGATGTTAGCTCAGGGCCCATCTGCCTCAGTAAAAAGAAAAAAAAAAAAAAAAAAAGAGGGTTGGCATCGGATGTTAGCCCAGGGCTGATCTTCCTCACCAAAAAAAATAATAATAATAATTAAGATGGTAAATTTTATGTGTATTTTACACATGTTTCTTAAAAATGTGTAACTTTTGAATGACGATAGCCTAATAAATTAAAAGAGTTCAGAAGAAACTTTTAGTGTCTCGGTAGATCTAGAGCCAGGAATAAGCTCCAGGGGAAAGGTTTTGGCTCAACATGAGGACAAATGTTTTAATAATCTGAGTTTTCTTACAGAATAGCACTATTAAAGATAAATAAAAGGAGTATTTGTGGCCTGTGAGATTAACAAATTGTATATGACATCCATAGTTTGGAATAATTTGTATCAAAAAGAAGTATGCTTAGTTTTATAAGATAAGTATGAAAAAAGCAGATTGCAGAACAGCATGATGGAATCCTTCATGTTAAAATTATGTGTATGTCATCTTGTGTTTAATTATACGTAGCTATTTAGAAGGCTGTTTGCCAAAATGTGGTTGGTATATTTAGGGAATTCTTGATTTCTTCTTAATATCATTCTGTATTGTAATTTTTTATAATAAGAATGGGTTACATGTGTAAACAGACAATCCACCTCACCCTTTTCCTTGTAATACACCCACACAAAATTAATATAAAAAATTAAGAATTCTGACAGAAAAGAGAAATGGGCTGCCTTGAATAGCCTGTCAATTAAAGGTATTTTAATAGTTGCTGTAGGAATGTTGTAGATTGAACTATATCACCTTCAAGGCCATTACCCCCAGGCCAGGTTGTTATTTTACTCAGCTTTTTTTTTTTTTTTTAATTTTATTTATTTTCCCCCCCAAAGCCCCAGTAGATAGTTGTATGTCATAGCTGCACATCCTTCTAGTTGCTGTATGTGGGACGCGGCCTCAGCATGGCCGGAGAAGCGGTGCGTCGGTGCGCGCCCGGGATCCGAACCCAGGCCGCCAGCAGAGGAGTGTGCGCACTTAACCGCTAAGCCACGGGGCCGGCCTTTCTCAGCTTTTTAAGAATTATTATGGTATAAGAAAAAGTAAATACTTGGTCTTTGTCCAGATTCTTGGCACAGAGTTCCTAAAATCCTTGGGATTTCCTGAGTGATAGGAATCTATTGCTATAAGGAGCCCCTTTTGGTCACATCTGAGTTTAGGTGTGACTTATAGAGGCCATATATAGGCTCGGGGTGGAACTAGTCTCCAGAAAGACCAAACACTTGATTAGAGATCTGGAATTTTCAGTTCCACTCACCCACAGGCATGGGGGTGGGGTGGGATTGAGCTCTATAGAAACTCTTGAAAAAGCTCTGTAAAAAGCTCTTGATTTGATGAGCTTCCAGGTTGGTGAATATATAAATGCCACCCAGAGAGGGCATGGAAGCTCTGTGCTCCCTCCCTACCTTGCCTTATGTATCTCTGGTTCCATTTGGCTGTTCCTGAGTTATAACCATTATAATAAACCAGAAATAGTAAGTAAAGCATTTTCCTGAGTTCTGTGAGTCATTCCAGTGAATTATGAAACCTGAGGTGGGGGTTGTGGAAACCCTCAAATTTGTAGCCAAGTTGGACAGAAGTATGCAGGTATCCTGGGCACTCAGGGCTTGACACTGGCCTCTAAAGGTGAGGACAGTCTTGTGAGACTGAGCCCTTAGTCACAGCCCTTAGACCTATGGGATCTGACGCTACTTCCCCATAGTTAGTGTCAGAACTGAATTGTTAGACACCCAGTTGGTGTTGGGAAAAAACACTGCACATTTGTTGTCAGAAGACATCATACATTTGTATACATTCCTTATCCCTGCAGTCAGATCATAAACTCTCTGAAGACAAGACTATCCCTTCTTCTGCAACACTTAGCCTATGACTTGTGCATAGTAGACGCTAAGAACAGTAAACTTTGCCCAAATAAAAGTGGTTTCTAGGGGCTGGCACCATGACCTAGTGGTTAAGTTCGGCGCTCTGCTTCAGCGGCCCAGGTTTGGTTCCCAGGCACGGACCTACACCGCTCATTGGTGGCCATGCTGTGGCGGTGACCCACATACAAAATAGAGGAAGATTGTCACAGATGTTAGTTAGCTCAGGGTGACTTCCTCAGCAAAAAAAAAAAAAGTGGTTTGTTTATTGAAGATGATGCCTTTGAATACAGGTATTTCATCAAGTAATAGAAGTATAGTTTATTTTATGCAAGAGCAGTTTTCCTTTAAAAATAATTATAAATTGAGATTTGGAACATATGGTTCTGGGGGGGGGGTGTCTTTTTTTTTAATGCACAGTTGAGTGATTTTTAGTATATTCACAGGATTGTGCAATTATCAACACAGTCAGTTACCACAAAGAGAAACCCTATACCCATTAGCCATCACTCCCCATTTTCTTCCAGTCACCCACCGATCTACTTTCTCTATGATTTGCCTATTCTGAACATTTAATATAAATGAAATCATACAATATGTGACTGGCTTCTTTTTTTATTGCCAAATAGTATTCCATTATATGGATATATCATTTTATTTATCAGTTCATTAGTTGGTGGATATTTGTGTTGTTTTTACTTTTTGACTATTAGGCATAATGTCTGGTTAAAGGACTCGAGGTTGATTAGCAAGACAAACAGTAACCATACTTCAGTTTTGTGGGAATGTTCTCATCCAAGGAGGTTGGCCTGTGGGCCAGCTGCCCGCTTTTATTGGAACACAGCCATACCCATTCATTTGCAGATTGTCTATGGCTGCTTTCATCCAACAACTGAATAGTTGCAACAGAGACTATATGGCCTACAATCTGCCTCTGGCCTAATCTGTTTTTGAAACCTTAACTTCAAGAAGTAGCCTTCAGGGGCTGCCCCGTGGCTTAGCGGTTAAGTGCGCGCGCTCCGCTACTGGCGGCCCGGGTTCGGATCCGGGTGCGCACCGATGCACCGCTTGTCGGGCCATGCTGAGGCCGCGTCTCACATACAGCAACTAGAAGGATGTGCAGCTATGACATACAACTATCTACTGGGGCTTTGGAGGAAAAATAAAAAAATAAAATTATGAAAAAAAAAAAAAAGAAGAAGTAGCTTTCAGGGCCGGCCCTGTGGCTTGGTGGTTAAGTGCGCGCGCTCTGCTACTAGTGGCCGGGGTTTGGATCCCGGGCGCTCACCGACACACCGCTTCGCCGGCCATGCTGAGACCACGTCCCAAACACAGCAAGTAGAAGGATGTGCAACTGTGACATACCACTACCTACTGGGGCTTTGGGGAGAAAAAAGGAGGAGGATTGACAATAGATGTTGACTCAGAGCCGGTCTTCCTCAGCAAAAAGAGGAGGATTAGCATGGATGTTAGCTCAGGGCTGATCTTCCTCACAAAAACAAAAAGAAGAAGTAACCTTCATGTTTACTAAATACCCATTTCTCTTTTTCTTGTTTTTGGGCAGGCAGAGAACATTTATAATGATGAAGACCCTGAAGGAAGCGTGGATCCAGAAGGACAAGGGTCCTAGATATGTCTGCACTTCTTGTGATTTTAGACTCCCCTTTTTTTCCTCTCAACCCTGAGATTGATATAACACTGGTTTTGAGACACAGACTTTGTTTGGCTATCCCTCTATGATAGGTACCATCAACAATGCTATTAGCGCAAACAGAGGGTGTTTTCTAAATATTAACTGGGGGACTTGATTCAGTAAAGCCACAGACTTATATTTAAATTTTCTTCAGGAATTTTTTAGTAACAAAGGTCTAAAGTAGCCACAGAAAGGGGAATATTGTGTGTGGTTATTTTTCTTCTTATGCTGTATCCCCAAGTTTTTCAGACTCATTTAAGTAAAGGCTAGAGTGAGTAAGGAATAGAGCCAAGTGAGGTAGGTGTCTGAGCCATCAAGTATAAATACTGCAAGGTGTCATTTTTATTCGGGAAATAGGGGAGATTCAAGTCATACAAATTCCTACTCTAAAATTTTCACACCTGACTTTCCAGGATGCACATTTTCCTATGTAGACCTCTCAGTTTCTTCAATTAAGTCAAAACTATGTGTTCCTCTTTCCCCATATATTTTTGCTTGTTAGTGTATTTCTTGAGCTGTTTTCATATTATTTCTTTCCTTTCTGTGAAATGGTTTTTTTAAAAAACTTGGGACCACCAAGTTGTAAAGATGTATGTTTTTACCTGACAGTTATACCACAGGTAGACTGTCAAGTTGAGAAGAGTGAATCAATAGCTTGTATTTGTTTTTAAAATTAAATTAATCCTGGATAAGAGTTGTTTTTTTTTTTTTTAGGAGGTAGTTCTTGACCACTAGTTTGATACCATCTCTATTTTGGGTGACCTGTTTCACCAGCAGGCCTGTTACTCTCCATGACTAACTGTGTAAGTGCTTATAATGGAATAAATTGCTTTTCTACATAACCCCATGCTGATGGGTTTTATTTAGTATATAACATCCATCAAACGCCAGTCTCTGGCTTCTAGAAGAGTTGTTCAGATGACAGTTATTTTCTATGGTCTTTGACCATCAAGAGCAGAATTAAATATAATAGACCCAGAGCTATAGAAAAGAGCTTTACTCCTTCCCAGGGAAAGTGAAAGACATAAAACACTGAATCAGAGGTGCACAGATTAATCTTTGATAAAGTAACATCTTTTTGAAGTCTGTCCCCAGAGAACTACATGGACTTTGAAGAATCTCAAAGGCAGTGTGGCAGAGAGAATTTAAGGCAAAATTTAAATTTGGAAAAGGTGTTTGAACCTTTTCTCTTAGGTTGAATCTCCCCAGTATGTTTTTCACTGGGGCCTGCACTTAGAGGTTGGAAATAATAGGTTCTTTATAGCCTTTATCACCAAGAGCCATAACCAGGTAAAATGCCTGGTTCTTTGCTAATCACTCAATTTAACTGAGTAGATCACTCTGACCCCAGATCATTTTCATGAGGTAAGATCTTTGGGGAAATCTGAAAATCCTCAACCTTTATGTTGAAATCTGGATTGGTTTCTTTCCAAGTCTGTAGTTCTTTTAGAGTATAGTGAAAATTATCTTGACACAATTAAGAGTAAACTATGTGAGTCGGCATAGACTTAAAGAAAAGTAAACTTTGTAAAAGGATTCCTTTAAAGTCTAACACTCATGGCACAAAAGAATTCAAATTGTGAACCCATGCAATGAAAACAGGCTGCCTTTTTGACCCTACCTGTGCTCCAAAAAACTTTTTGGTTTGGGTCAACACAGGCAAGATACATTCTTCACAACACTGCAAGGTGTGTCTGTACATTCATCTTTTACTCTGCATGTGAGCGTTGCTGCTGCAGGACAGGAAGCTCATTTTTCCGTTCCTTGGTGCATTGAGATCAGTACCAGCAGCCTATAAAATAGAATCCAGCTAAGAGTTGACTGATGGTGTTCTGTGTCCAGCCAGCCCTAGAATCTTTTTAAACAGGTCAGCCAGCATTTGTAACTTTCCAGGGTGAATTGCTTGCCAAGTCCCTGGCACTCCCTTCTCTGTTTGGAAAAAAGTATGTCCAAAGGGTACTTAGTGATCCTTGGCTAAGAAGTTTTTTTTGTGGTTTCTGGGTTACAGATTCGGCCATACATTTCTAAACAGCCCCTGCAAGGTTGAGAGAAAAAAGAATTAAGTTTATACTTTCTGCAACTTGAAATAATACAGAATAAAGTTTATAACAGTGAACTTCTGAAGTTTAGTTAGGGCATGCTATGTTGGGGAGAGATTGCTAGAGTGTGATTTACGTTTCATCAGGGATGACTTTCCCGAGCAAATATTTGAGTGCCTCCAATTTGCAAAATAGAATGAGTGGTAACGTATGTGATGGTGATGGGAGGGGCTAGCTAAAAGTTTTCTGTGCCCAGGTTAACTTTACACAGGTATTAATTACAATGCCTGAAATTCTGTAGTTTCTTTCCTTTGGATTAATCATTGCCTTTTCCCCATTATACTTTTAATCTGATTCACACAAAGGTGTTTAGCAGATCATTTTCCTCAATTACAAGGTTCTAATAATCTCCCAAACAATAAGTGTAATCAATTATGCCTGGATAGAACACAGTAAAAGAAAATCCTAGTAAGATAGGAAAAGCGTCAGTTATAATAGTTAACTGTGAATTTGTATCCAAGATGTAACGTTAACTAGGAAATGAAGAATAAATTAATGGGCATCTGTGTAGTATGCAAGTCAGCACTGACCTTTTTTATCATTAGTTTCTTTATGCAAGAGAATTTAAGACTATAAAGAATATGAGAACATATTGGTATATAAAGAAATTAATGGATAGATGTGTTGCTTGTTTCACATATTAAGCAATAATCCTGTCCCTCATGCTATAAACAACACCCTCTTCAGCTTTTTTTTTTATGACTTAACAGATTAATTTAGCCTTCTTGGCCTTCTTTGTCACAGTCTGAATTAGATAGCATAACTGCCTTCTCTGCTATTCTAAGGAAACGGTGAATAGCAGATGGGGTAGGGGAGGGTGAGGAAAGTAAGAATGTACAGAGCCTGGATATTTTATCCTGTTACAGAATTCCTAGTGATAATTAGGGCATATTTTGAGTCCTACTAGAAATTGAAACATTCCAAATGAACCTTGAATGCTTGAACCAGGCAATTTGGAGATATGTGTTATTCCTAAATGACTTATTTGTCGTTAGACACACACTTAAATTTTTTTAAGGCATTAGTATTGTTAAATTAGGAAAGCAGCAACGATGCAAACACCATTCTTGTACCCACAAGGATCACCTTGAGACTGTGTCTCGATTCCACCTGCCTGAGAAGTGGGAGCATTAGCCTGTTCCAGGCTCTTGAGTAGCATAGCCCTTGAAAAAAAAGAGAGCCATTTTCCATCTGTTTATGGATCAGCATGTTTGAAAATCATTTCCCAAATCATTTTTTTGTTTTTCACTGTTAAGTAAAATATCCCCTGAGCAACATCTGCCCTCCCCGTCGGCCCCTCAGCAAGTGTTAGTTGAGATTTGGGTAGCAGCAAAAACTGACCTGTAAGTTGAGAGCTCTTCTGCAAGACTGATTCTTAGCTGCTCCATCTCTCTGTTCTTCTGTTGCTGCAGTTGCACTCCGCTTCTTAACTGCCTCTGTCGTTCTTCCATTTCCTCCAGCTGTTCCTGCATGGGAGGGCCAAGAATATTTCTAATGAGCCAAACAATAAAAACCTGACACTGTCCATTATCGTTTATAAAGCACTTTCTTGTTCATTGTTCAGTCTTCATAGCAGTATTGAGGTTGAGAAACTGAAATTCAAAGAGGTTGTGTTTTGACAAAGTGATACTGCTTTTGAAAATGGTGACCTAAAAGGAGTCTTTTCTGTTAACCACAGCTTCTTAATAGAATCCTGCAAAGGGTGGACAGGTACTCAGAGGGATTTTTTTTTTTTTTTTTT